TGCTCTAACCTTTCTGTAACCCCTTGCGTCCTAGTGGCTTCCCGCCTTGCTTGGGGTGAAATGATTAAAAAAAAAAAGATTATTGCTGCCATATCTGGTTTGGATCTTCCCAGTCTTTACTGGCATGTCTTGATAGAATGCAAAAGCGTCTACATGGACATGTGGTTGATTACCTTATTTTCAACCATACAACCCGTTTCCCAAAGGCGAAACTTTAAGAGACTCTCTGTCTATAACATGTAGTACGACAAGCTATATTTCTTAGTCTCACCACCCCTAACAACTGGGTCCCATCGTGCCACATACAGACGTGTGAATAAACCCTTCGTATTCCGATATTTCTATTCGGACAGCTTCTTCCCAAGAACTGCTGCTTTGTGAAACAGACTCCTAGCAGAATGTTTTCTAAATCATTCCAATCTTGACCTCTTCAAGTCTAGGATTGAAAGTCAAATTTCCAGCATAGTTTATTGTCCTTTCCTACGCTCATACAAAAATACACAGTAACTCTCTGCTCTTGAGCCTTGTAGTGTATGAACATTAATATAAAAAAAACGGTAGTATATATATATATATATATATTAGGTTTGCTTTGCTTTGTTTTATGGCATATTAAGCTTAAAAGTTTAGTTAATGCCAACAAAAGATTTTTTGGGGGGTTAGTTTGGTTTGCTTTGTTTTACTCAATGGCCTATTTAATGCCGACAAGATTTTTATTTCTGGTAATATTTTTTCAACAAATGCCGTTCCAGGACGCGGATGAAGTTTGTGGTCTTACCCAGGACGCCATTTTTAGGGAATATAAGACCGAAGGGTTAGAACACTAGAGTTACCACGATAAGATCTAGGTTCGAATCTCACCATAGACACTTTGTCAACAAAGCGACTTCTTGATAATATCTGCCTGCGAAGACGACCCCTGCGTGTGGCACCGTCGAGGCGACTAGAAAACCATACCTTGTGAGTAAAATGAGCTTCGAAAGTTTGGAAACCAGGCATCATTTTGGTTTTCAATGCGTCTTCTTACTATTGTTTCCAAACTCAATAATCTATGCTTTTTATTTTAAATTACTCCCAATACAAGGTCCAAGTGCCACCCTAGGTAGAGTGTTACAGTGTAAGTGGCACAATTTATAGGGATATATGTGGAACATAACAGTTAACGCAAAAATTGAAAAGGTTAAGATTATAATGGTCGTGGAAGCATTCTATTGGAAGTAGTTCCACAAAGCAGCGTTTCGTGGTAAGAATATGGTTGAGTGGAAGTTAGATCTTACCAATGGAATACGAAAGGAATTAGTGCGGTTCCTTACAACTTGCTGACATACTGAGATATGATATGAGTGAAAGGAAGTGGTGGGAAGTGAAGATTATGATAGTGAGGTAAGATAACGATTAACCCGTCACTTGTCAGACTTGCCTATACCACTTGGAAAACGAACAGAAGAAAGGACCTCTAATATAATTTATCTTTGTGACTTATTTTATTAAATTAATCTATTACTGTACATAGAATATAACGTTAGAACGTGTCTTAACGACACACATTTAAGCATAAATATACGTGGAAACCATAGAGACTTTCGGTTAGCAAACTCTACCTAACAGCAAAGCATACAAACGACCTTCGGCTGTCAAGTACCTCCGTTATCGTACGATTTTGTTATCGTTCGTTTATTTTATTTATTTGTTTATTTTTTGGGTGAGGGTAATTGTCCAACTTCTCGGTTTATATAATTTATTTTTGTGAATTATTTTACTAAATTAATCTATTACTGTACATAGAATATAACGTTAGAAAATTTCGTAAAGACACACATTTAAGCACAAATATACGTGCAAACCAACTGCACCAAGACTTTCGTTTAGCAAACACTACGTAACAGCAAAGCATACAAACGACTTTCGAAAGTACAGCGGAACCGCGGTTATCAAGTACCTCTGGTAACGTACGATTTTGTTATCTTTCGTTTTTTTGCGGAGGAAATTGTCCAACTCTCTCGGTTAATATAATATATCTTTGTGACTTATTTTATTAAATTAATCTATTACTGTAAATAGAGTATAACGTTAGAAAGTGTCTTAAACGCACACATTTAAATACAAATATACGTGCAAACCAACGTTCATTTAGCAAAACACTACGTAACAGCAAAGCATAAAAACGGCCTTCGGAAGCATAGGTGAACCGCTGTTATCGATCAAGGAAATTCGTCCGTTACGAACCTGTACACTCCTGTCGGCTTGCTTCTGTGTGACATCCCCAAACACAAAGCGACAAAGGTAGGAAATAACGCCCCAAAAAGTCTTGCTTAAAGTCTTTCAGGAGGGTAATACAAACAATAGCATTTTTCCTCCTTTACAATTCCTTACTGACTTACAAGAGTCTACAATAAAATAATGCGAAGTTAATTTTTCGTTTATACTAGTTATTTGTAATTTATAATAGTTTCTTATTATTTTTCTGCATAGCTTCTTCCATGGAAACTGCCATGACGAGCAATATTCTGTGGTTACACCAATATTACCCTTCACGGCTACCACACGTCACGCTACGACGATTATAGCGAACAACCCTCTTTCCCTTCACATTCCATTGGTGAGTGCACTGCTCTGTGAAACCGAATCCTAAGAGAATGTTACCCCGATCACTAGAAACTTAACATGTTCAAGTCTAGAGTTAACCATTATCTTCTAAACATAACCGCATAAACTCTTCCTTTTATTAAGTATCCTCTACCATGAGGGGGTTTCAGGACTTGTACAGGGTGGACCTCACTGTAAAAAAATTCAAGGCTATAGATATTCTATGTAAAAATGTTTTTATTTGTTAATATTTTAGGATGAGTGAAACGGATTAATTGTATTAACATTATGTCTCATGGGAATATTAGCTCGGTTATCGTGCATTTCGGCCGACTTCCTGGAAAGGATGATGGCTGATAACAAAGGTTCCACACTATATCGAACTACGCTTTCTCTGAAGATATTTGCGCAAAACAGAGAGAAAATCTTTGAAGCAAACACGTTGGAACTAGTCCAATCACGTTTTTGATACAACGACACATTAATTTGTATACAGATGAGAGCACTTCAACAGCCTCGCCCTTGGCGGTCTCTCACGCAGCAAGGTTCCCATATCGGTAGATACGCAACATAATCAAGGATTCTTCAATGTAAATACAACTCGATTCCTATTTCCCGCCATTACATCCGACAGTTTCAATTTCCTTTTGTGCTCGTTGCTTCCCAGCATGCTTCTTGATTGACTGAACCTTCTTTCACTTTTACTTTCACTTTTACTTTCACTTTCACTTTCCCTTGTCTGTATTCATCATTTCTGTCGATCGCAGAACCGGGAAATTTTACATGGGAGCTCCACCCGATGTTGCCACGCGTGAAACGATAAACGTACGTCCATTAATTTTCCGAGGAAGCAAGGAGATTAGATTCAGAATGAGTCGGTTTGTTGTTTTGATACATCCTGATTTTGTAACGAAGATGAAATAGCAGCTTTTCAGAAATCTAGACGATTAACAAACCTAATTTGACCAGGTAATATAGTAAGCTAGCTTTAATTATTTTTGTAGTATTTACTATATTCAAGGAGTCGAATCCTCCTCTGTATTCCAATTGTAAGGATGAAGTGACACTCAGAGAGCTTTATGGAACAGACTTCTACGTAGATGTTTCCCTGGCACCTTAATATTTCATAATTTTAATTTCCCGCATGTGCGTTGTTTGTTCTTGATTATGTCGACCGCAGAGTATAGTAGGGCCACTTGGGCACCGGCTGTGAGAAAAAAGAGCACCATGACGCAATTCACTCCGCCAGAAATTTGGAAACGATATGCCGCTCTGCTTGGCATTCGTGCCGGAAATTCCAATACAAAAATTGCAGCGGATTACTACGATAATAGAAGTGCTCGTAAAATACAATAGGAAAACTGTAATATGAGCCGACGCGTTTCGTCCAACGTGAACTTTTTCAAGGCGAAAACGAAATGAATTTATTAAAACAAAGTAACAATTAATGACAAGACAAAATGTCCGTAACAACTGTAAGAATTTAGAAAACGCTATTATATTCATATTGTCAACTGAAATTATATATATATATATATATATATAATTAATAATCATACAAATCCTTTCACCTCATATGGGGAATAGTCTATTTTGGCAAACGACAAAGTTGTCGTCTGTCTTTTAAACTTTTGGATTTGTTTGATTATTAATTATTTTGCTCTGTGTAAACAAAATACATCGAGCTCTTTCTTGGGGATCAATTCTAATATTTTCATATTACTAGGACACACTTGGATTATATACCAACGGATTTTACCCTATCATATATATATATATATATATATATATATATATATATATATATATATATATATATATTTGTGTGTGTGTATGTATACCGTACACTAATTTCTTGACCGAAGTGGCTGAAAAGACTTTCTCTCTAGGCTGATATTTTACCTTAGCATGTACATATATATATATATATATACATATATATAAATATATATATATATATATATATATATATATATATATATATATATATATATATATATATATATATATATATCGTAATCTGATATCTTGGCCGAAGTAGCTGAAAAAGTCATTTTCTTTTTAGGCTGATATTTTGATATGGGACAGAATTTCCAGTCAGTACTTACCTAAATCCTTCATTTTTTACAGGTAGTATGCTAGTTATTTACAAATACGGTACATAGGTTGTTGAGTAATTATTATTACCCAGGAGGCCGTTTTCCTTTCTGTCGAGCATTCTCTACTTATTTCCTTCCCCCAACGTTATCTCTTTAATTTATTTGCTGCGGGATTGTCACTCTCCCCACCCCTCACCGCGCTTTATTGAAGCAGCCTCGAGCAGAGAACAACGAATAGACGGAAGTTGTGGCGAAGGAGTCAAGTTTGCTTCTTAGCACTTTTATGTGTCACTCAGCGGAGGTAGACATATCAAC